GAAAAGGGTAATTTGGGTTATTTAAGTATTTTGATATTTTATAATTCAAATTAATAAAATAGTGAAGGGTAAAGTGGACTTTTCATATGTTTTAAGGCTCTGTTTGGATGATAAATTTTACAAGGGGGATTTTCATCTATGTGTCCTTATCCCAAATTTCAGGGGGTGTCAATGTACTTTACCCAAATAAATAAATAGAGTGTTCACACAATTGAGTGAGAAATTATCTTATGGTCCAAGACCACAAGTCACACGACTTTTCAAAAAAGAGGAAATGATGGTTAGGCCGAAGCGTATCCCAAGGCCATCAATAATGGCCTTGTTTTGTTCGGCCCACCACATTGGCTAGGCTACTCAGCCTCAATAGTATAGTTCTTTACGAAAATATTATTTTTATATTTGAGAGTATTAAATAGGTGTCTTAAATTCAGGATCGGAGGAAGTTTAGTTTAAATTTTGTATTATTATTTTTTTTAATTCTAACTATAAAACGTGGATTCGGCTAACAAATTATACTTAATACACAAATATAAAATTACGTAACTAGAAATCAAATCCACGGACAAATACAAATCATGAAAAAAATCATAATAATAATGATCACTTACATATATGCCCTATTTGAATGGATAGAAAACATCACATGTTAGTATGTTACTATAAACTCATATACATTTATTATCTAAAACAATTACTTTCAAACCTCAATAATAATAGTAAATATCAGTATTAACTACAAATTAGTGACACCCTCTATTGGATTAAATAAGATTACACACAGATATTTATAGAAAATAGACACTTAAATACAGTGAACTTTCTACCCTCCATTTCAAAGTGTAATATAGACAAAGTTCATTCATGTAATAAATCTTCAAATCCCCTGCCCTTTACACTTGAAATTTGTAAAGCAAAACTGTAACACCCCCAACATTTTTCACACATAAGTTGATCAGGCTTATACACGAAAAACGAGGGATATCGAAAACAATTGACAATATACAACCATGGAATACAAAATGATGATAATAAAAGAATTTAGACAGGAAAGGAATACTAAATAATACAACATCCATCCATCATTTTAATACAATACTTCATTACAACTTGGAAATCATATGTCAAGGATCCCTAAATATAACCCTGAGAGTTCAACGTCAAAAGTAAATAAAAATTGAAACTGAAGTAATACATAAAACTTCTACCCTGAACTGGATCGTAAGAGTAGATGAGTTCGGATGGTGGTCCCACACTGCTAACCTCAACCTTGGAACGGGTACTGACCGTATCCTGAAATAACAACAATGGTGGGTCAACCCCACGAGCAAGTCCTCTCTACTATGACCCAAATCAGAGAATCAAATAAATTAATCATTATGAATCGGTTGAGTACTATATCTGTATACATCCTAAGGGAACTATCCAATGTATAACATGACCTCAACCAGAATAGACGGTGATCACTTAGACTCACACTAGGTGGTTAAGTGTCGCCTTTCCCTACCCGGGAAATCAGCTATTATACATGGTGCACGGTACTGACAACACAGACTATAACGAACTACACAGTGATAACACCTCTCAAAGTACTGATGAATATACTGAGCATATAAATTAGGCAACACATGCCAATAATATTACTAAATATACTGAGCATGTCAATTAGACAACACATGCCAATAATATTAAACCACATACCCCGACAGCCACACATCTGTCTATAGCAACGAATGCATAAGGTATAAATGAGTCTAAACTTATTAGCCAGCTCACATGGTTCTATACGGCAACTCATCCATATAATATAAATGTGACATAATTAAACAGTCCATTTATTTCCTGAAATGCACACAGCATAATAATCATGGTTTGTATATCATTAACAACATAAATAATCCTGCAATGTATAACGGACAATTTATTTGAATTAAAACCATGTAATCATTTAATTTTAACATTAATGATTTAATACTGTTTAATAAAATAATAACACAATTAATGATTAACAATGTCATTAAATTAACTACATCCGTTTAATGGTGATCTGTATTGAAAACAATACAATTAATATTTAAAAATATTAATCGGACATAATAATAACTAACGGTTAATAAAATAATAATTTAATGTCCCGTTAAACTCGTAAGTACCAACCATAGGCCCAAAAGTGCAAGTTTAAGGTTCTGGAAATTACAAAACAGGCCCTAGGGGTATTCTGGTAATTTTCAGCAGCTGACAGGGCCCTTCACGCGCCGCCCTAAGCTTCCCCACGCGCAGCCAAGCTTTCCCACTCTCCCACGCGCTCACAAGCGCTTGCACGCGCGTTTGGAGAGTTCCACGCTCGCGCACGCGCTCCCACGCGCGTCTGGAATCAGTCACGCGCGCGCACGCGCTGCCACGCGCGCACTAATGGTTCCTTGCTGACGCGGCGACCTCCGGTTGGTTGGCTGCATCATCTTTCCTACATGCGCGCCACACAGGATCAATCCACCTACCTTCCCTCCATCCAACGCTCACGGATCCGGGTGTACCGCGGTAACATGGACCGCGGTGCACCGGATCAATCGCTGCTGTTTAATGGTCCAGATGCACGCGCATACCCTCCTATGGTGCGCCGCATCACACCGGATCACTCCGGTCATCTCCCCCATTGCCGGCGACCGGAAAACTCGCCGGAAGGTCGCCAGAAATTGCAGAAAAGCCCCGGAAAAATCTAGAAAATTCTAGAAAAATCCATAAAGCTTTATTTAATTATTTTCGGCCATTATTAATTTCATAGGATATTAAATAAATATATACCATCCTATATAATTAAAGTTTCATTAATTTAATAAGATAAAATTTATAATTTATTAATCTACTAACCTTGGCTCTATGCATACAAATAAACTAAACAATTAATTTATTAAGTCAAAGGGGAAAAGTAGATAATAACTTGCCTTTTTGGATTTAAAATAAATCCGCCGGTTGCGCGTAGTCGGGTAAATTTTTCCTACACCGGTCCAAACTCCTTTATTTCTTTCTCTTCCTTTCTACACTTTTACAATGACTTACTAAAATTTATAATTTGTGTCTAACTCCCTTTCCTTCCTTCTAAGGTAGGCTAGCTAATCTATATACAAATTATATAATATAAATATTACAAATATCTATTTTTTGCATTTAATTAACCACATTCCCAACCATAAGGCTTTAAGGCTAGCAAATCATAGTCAAGTTATTTGATCCACCATTCTACCATAGTAAATGAAATTCTATCCTAATATTTAATTTTTCATCATTACATTGATTTAATACTATTATTATTTATTATAAATATTATTATTATTATTATTATAAATAAACTATTATAATTATTATTATTATAAATATTATTATTATTAAATACAAATTAAATACTTTAATTAAATAATATTAATTAATCTAAAACCTAACCAATAAAATGTCTAAACTAATCATTATAATATATAGAACAAAAAAATCAATATTACATGCACAAATAAATAAAATTAATTAAATAATTTAGCATATATAATTAAAAGGTGAATAAATCTACACATTAAAGAATTAACCTAACACAAAATTAATTTAAATAAACTCTTTAAAATTACGGGGTATTACAAAAACTCTCTCTCTTTTTTTTTTTTTTTTTAAATTTATTATTATTTTTATGTCGGGAAGGGGAGTCTAACACAAATACACCCCGTTTAGGAAGTTGGGCACTTTACTTAATATATCTCTAGATAATACTCTAATAAGGTACGGATCAAAATTAGTAATTTTTTTCCACGTTATGAAAATATTGTGATATTGAACTGAACATCATAATATTTTTATATGGCAGATCACTAATAGACGAGACATATTCTCGTAAACTGCATCATGGCATATGAATAAATGATAGGAAAATTTATCATCACAAATGAATGACTGAGGGTCTCACGAGTCATGAATCTGCATAAAGAATAAAACATGGGTAATCATTCATATGAAACAAACAAAATCCCACCCAAGGTTCTCATAGAAAATTGTGTGTCAATCAAACATGGTCTGTCATTTCCTTTTTTTTTTTTTTTTTTTTTTTTTTTCATAATAAATACGTGAATAAAAATATTGACAATCATTCTTCTGAACCCAAATAAATCCATCCTCAATGATTGCATTCATTTTAATCTTCCTAATAAAGCAAACCCCTACAGATCGAGTACCCTCATTATCAAATTGATTATACTTTAAACCATCACTAACTTTGCTTCCCTTTCCTTTTTGTTTTCCTATATGTATATTCAAAATAAATAAATTAAAGTTTTCATTATATATATATTTTTACCCCTTAAATAAACAAAACCGCTTTAAATTATTTGAGCACTTAAACTCTTAACCTAAGTCATATAGCGGGAGCGAATTCGAGAGCGGTAAAATTATATCATAACTAATAAGAATTTGAACAAAAATGTGCGCGGAGCGTGAAAGTAGGAATGCGCTCGGAACACAAGAGAAACACCTATTAAGAAAAATTATGTGACTTAGTTCTCAACATTCTTTTTTATAGTGTAAAAAAAGAGTGCTATACTAATCACGACCTATTTCATGAACCAAAATTATTTAAATCAATATTTTTGGTTAACATGAAAACATAAGATCCATCATTAACTTTGCATCATTTCTCCAAAAATATTCTTGTGAGTTAAATGAAACATTGTACAAAATAAATAAAAAATTATAAAAAATTTGTTTTGTTGATAGTTTTTGAAAACTCTATAAAAAAAAACTTGTTTGAAGCAAATTGTCTCTAATAGTTGTATGAAAATAATTTTATATTTATAAATTTCATGTTTTAAAATATTTTCTAGATTTGGATCGAGTTTTTTTTTTTTTTCTTTTTTTCGAAGAAATAAAAATAAATACTGCGTAATAGTAGGTCGTCCACCCGACCCGTATCCGCTTAGAATATGAGTTGCGGAGTTTCTGAGAAGAAAAACGCAGAGAGAGAAAGGAGAAGACACATAAAAACGCGCTAATAATCCAACCACAACATCAACATCCCCCCTCGCACACTCCTAAAGTCCTTCGGCTAGAATATGCGCTTAGACAATCATCATTCATTATAGTAGTGGTATATCATTAAATACACACACAGAGGAATCATTCTTTCTCTTCATTAACCTCTCTCGCCATCCATTTTCTCTCTCTAGGGTTTCCGAACAACACTACCACGGGATTGAGAAGTTCTCTATCAGCATCAACATCTGCGTGTGTATATATAGGGTTTCCGAACAACACTACCACGGGATTGAGAAGTTCTCTACCAACATCATCTGTGTGTACAATATATATATATATGTGTGTGTGTTTGTGTATTTGGCATCTTATCGTATGGAGAAAGCTCTTCGAAGAGTTTAATATTATCATCAAGATATATTGATATATTAGATCTCATTCATTTCCTTTTTCATTTCTTGAGGAGTTTTTTCAATTTATTGAGGGAGATCAAGGTTATTCGATTTGTTGGCGATCGTCGTGAATCGCTGTCCAAGAATCCAAGGATTGGGAGGGAGAGATGGATAATGGTGGTGGAATCGACGGAAGAGGCAATTTGGCACACAAGTTCTCTGCCTTGGCTGTCAGGACCAATAATGACTCTCCCAACTTCAACGGCAACAACAACAACAACAACAACAATGATGACCTGAAACAGGTCATGAAAGCTGTTGAAGCTGCTGAGACCACTATCAAACAACAGGTCTCCCATATCATTGTTTACTGTCTTCCATCTATTCACCATCGTTTTGTGTTTATTTGCTTTCGAATTTACTTATCTGTTCAGATATCTGGTCATTTGGTTTTCGGTTTATTTCATTCTTTGAACGTCTTGTATGATAGGGTGGGTCGCAATCCATTTCCTAAACTTAGCACTGTATGATTGATTTTTGTTTTTGAAATTCGAATCTTTTGCTTCATTTGGAAATGCATGTCAATTAACTCACTAGCAATTTACTCTAGTATTAATTAGTGAACATGATAAGGCAAGAGATTATCTATAGGCGTTAGGAGTGAAAATAAAAAATGTCAATAGCAGCTGTTGTTCCAGCCAATTTTTTTCAGTTATTTAAAACCACTTATCCTAGGTATAGTACATGCACACACACATACATAAATCAACATAATTAATAATGTATACATAGTTTATAAAGTTTTTAATAGGAAGAGTGATTTCGAAAATACGAGGTACTAGGGGATTTGGGGTCTGAAACTTTCCGTGTGACCCCTTGAGTGTATGATTTTAGGTCACATTCGTGCACATGCAGTTGTGCATTTTATGCGGATGTTTAATAAATTTGACTTTACCTATTTGGTATTTTTTTTTTTTGATAAATAACTTTACCTATTTAGTATTAAAACTGGGTGAATTGATTATTTTCAAGAAACGGGCAGGGAATTGTCACCTTGAGCAAAGCATTTAAATAGCTGATTTTTTTTTTTTTTTTTTGAGCACAAGCAATTAGCATCTGATCCGTTCACTTAGGTTCCATTATTTATTTGATAGGATCCCTTAAAGAAAGTAGAAAAAAAAGGAGAAGAAAGTCTTTCATTCCCTTCCTAAGAGTGGCACGGTCATTGTTTGGTCTTTATAGTTTTCTTTAACCCCCTCATAGATTAGTATTGGGGCACATGTATTAGGAACCTTGGTAAGCTTTGGAACCGCTTCAAATCTTTGAGTCTTTATATTGATGTTGCATAGTTAAAAGAAGGGAGTAACAGGATATAGAAACGGAGGGAGCTGAATTCAACTGTCAAAAGAGAAGTGAAAAATAAAAGAAAAAGAGAGAGGAATCAATGGGGATTTCTTGCAAGATAGTCCAAAAGGTAGGGATTATCCTGTTCTAAGTTCTATATAGAAATTTATCCGGTACTTGTTTAGACTGTTGTCTTAATTTGAGTAATTTGAATGGAATAGATTTTTAATGTGTAAAGATTGAATCTTTGAATGAAAATACCTTAATCAAGGTACCTTTGAAGTCACTAGAGTGTTTTAATATATAAAGATTTAATCTTGGAATGAAAATGAGAGTTTTGAGTCAAACTTAATCGAGTTCCTTTCGAAGTCACAAAAGTGTTTTAATGTGTAAAGATTGAATCTTTGAATGAAAATGCCTCAATTATGGTACCTTTTTTTTTTATATAAGTAAAAATAACATAAAAAAAGGCGTTCAAAAGGGAAAGCATCCCAATTACAAAAGTGGAACCGGGACTAAGGCCCCAAAGAATCCAAGAAAGTAATTAAATCATTAGAAGAAGAACAAAAGCTCCTCTTCACATAATTAAAAAGAGAGCGAAGAATGTAAAGTTTGACCATTGCCGTAGGCGACTCTTTCCCTTCGAACATTCTATTATTTCTCTCCTTCCAAATGCACCACCATACACAATGTGGTACAATTCTCCAGAAATCGTGAACATCTCTTCTCACTTGACATCCTCTCCAAACATGAATTAATTCCTTAATTATGGTACCTTTGAAGTCACTAGAGTGTTTTTTAGAAAATAGTGCAAGAAGTCCAAATTCAGATGACCAGAATTCTTTTCCATCTTGATTTTAAAGATTTTACACGTACTCTAGTATGTGTGTCTGATGTAAGTGTGTGTTTGGCTGTCAGATCTTCTCCAGGCCTAAATCGTAGGTGACAGGGGTTGGCTTGAAATATGTCTGAAAGTGATATAAGGGCACGGGTACTTAAAATGTCTTGCACATCTAAAAACAAATTAAATGGGACATGGTGAAAAAGTGGGTTTTCATCTATACCTCCTCATGAGAAGTAGGAAATTTATTGTTTTTCTTTTTCGTCTTTCGTCACATGTAGAGATCCAATTTGTTCGATTATGGTTTAGTGTATTTGACAGATATCTTATACACCCAATGCCCATGTAGTATTGTGGCGGCATGGGTATCTTTGGAGAAACAAGAGTCCTATTAACACATTGTTAGATAAAATGCTAGAAATACTATCTCTTTGCGTTAACTTGGTGTATTTTTTTGCAACCAAAATACCATCTAGATTTATTTTTGATAGAAAACAAGCAATTCTGTAAAGGTAAGAAAGAGTTCATAACTAGAATGCCGCATCATTCAAAGAATGGTGGTAAAAAACCAAATGATGATACAATTCATAAATACAATCTTTCTTTAGAACTTCTCCATGGAAGTACACATCACGGGAAATGACTCAATGAGAGTGAAGCTTAAAAGGAAGGAGAGCGATTACTCTATTATTGTCTGAGGAGTTGTCCTCATAATTTATTGAGCTAATAATCTATTGGAACTCCACCTTATAAGGAACCAACTAAATTCCAAACTCCTGAACTAAGTGATTGTGACTCCAAGGTCCATGGAAGTACACATCACGGGAAATGAGAGTGTAGTTTAAGTGATTGTTAGGTTATTGTGTTATGTGTTGGCAAATTTCTTTTTGATAAGCATGTGTTTGGCAAGTTTTTACACAAAACTCTGCTATTAAGTTGAACAAAATGTCTTGCGTTGTTTCTCTACAACCGATAGGAGATGATGAAGGTGGCGAGAGAACAATGAAGAAAACGCCAAAAATCTCCCAGGCTCAATCACACAGGTTTATGAAGGATGAGACCTGAGAACTTTCCATGTCTTAAGGTTTGATCTTTATAAGGCTCAAGATTATGTTTTTAACATGTTTTTCAAAAACTTTGAACAAAGTACTTTGTTCAATCAATTTTTTTAATTGAGATTAGTGTCAAAATCCAGTGAGCTTCGATTGATAGCTCGATCTATATATATATATTCATGAGCTGAACAAACATATTAAATAGCTTGTGAATATATATATGTATGTATATATATACTATGTGACTCTACAAACCCAACCCAATCAATTCCATATAATTATTGATATCAGCCCTCTTAAAAATAAAACAGCCCAAGCCCATGTTTCGAATCCATCCATATAAATACTATACTTCACTCTCTCAGCCCCACATCAATCAATTCGACCTGTCACACATCTTGGAAGCAAGCAGCGACGCTGCTACTAGCCATAACATCTACTAGCTATAGCATCACCGACAAACTGCTCATCAAAGAGGGTGACACGCTCCATCATGGCTGAAGATATGTGATTCTGTGTGTGTGTGTGTGTTATTTCTCCCCGATCTCATACCTGATCTTTTGTTTCTCTCGTATTGGATGGGGGAATTAGTAGCTGAATCTAGAACCATAGAAATGTAGTTCATGTTTTGCTTAACCAATAATATGCTATACTGTTTAGTGATTCAAAATTTATAATAGATTAGTCGATTAATAAATATGCTCCGTAGTAAGATGATTATTTGTGTATGCGTGGCTGTAAATTCCTAATGGTTTCTAATAGGCCCCTGAGTCTGTCTTGTGTCACTCTTCACAGGTGGAGGAGAACACTCGATTGAGAGCTGAGCTTCATAAAAAAATTCAGGAGCTTGAAAAATATGTAAGTGCTCTCACATGGGACTCTCAAAAGATATTTTTCTTGTCTTGTTTTCCGTTCTACCTGAGTTTGTCTGCAATTTTAGTATCTTATATTTGTTTCATTGATAGACAATTTCAGATCTTGTTTTTCTTATATTTTCCTCTAAATCTTTAGTTACATTCTCTGTTTGTTTTAGAATACATTGCAACACATGAGGTCTGTGCTTCAGGAATTTAGCTGCTGCTGGAATCTTATATATATATTGTCGTTTGCATGTGCCCCTATTTACTATCCTGTGGTTTTGGATCTCTTGATTTGAGAACTTACCTATGCTGAACCTATACTGATTGCAAGACTGTAAAAAAAAAGACCATAGATTTAGAGTAATAGCTGTATACCTTATGTTGGGAAATTTGTCCCAAATTCCTAGTTTAATTAGGTTATTAGGTTTCTATTATAGAGTTGTATTTTATTTGGTAATTTATTGTTTGATAAGTCTTGAGCTCCAAGGAATTGTAAATTTGCAATACCTGTCCAACAGGGTTTGGAATTCTTTAAATAGTTACCTAGGTTGTGGTTGAGACTTAAGAGATTGAGAGAGATGTAGTCTCATGAAGAAGTTGATGGGTAAAGATAGTTTATGGGTTGGTAGAGTTGGAAAAACACCAGTGCCTCTGATTGCAAGGAGACAGGCTTGTGGAGTGGTACATGGTGAAAAGACACGTACATGGTGTTGGTACTCTTCTATTGTAATATTTCTACGGAAATCATGGTGGAATCTCCTCTCATCCGTGGATGTGGGCAGATTTTGGTTGAACCACATTATATCTTGTGTTTGTGTGTGATTGCTTTATTGGCTTTCTTTGGATCTTTGTGTTCGGGTGCTTCCGCTGCGTCAGCACCTTATGTGATGCAGATGATGCCTAATGTGCTGCATTTTGTGTTTAGTGGCTTGTCTTGGTGTAGAGTCATATTTAATCTTATTGCAGTTTCTGGGTATGTGGTCTCCTGATCCTTCGAGTCTTCTATAGGGAGGAAAATAGAAGAGGTTGAAGTTGTGGCACTACCCTCTTATGGTTATAGGCGTTTTTTATGTTCTTAGTGTTTGGAGTGGATATGAGACGGAAATGAATGCATTTATGAGAATTAGAAGCAGCTACTGTTTGGGAGAAGGTGAGAAGTTTTCCTGGATGAATGCATCAATTCCGAATGACTAAAACATTAGGTTGCAAGGGCTACAGAGCATAAGGGGGCGCTGAAGAGAACTTGGCTTCATATCTTGGGAGTTAAAAGATGAACTATTACGTAATAAAGAAAATGTGCCTAGATATTTGGTTATCAGAATATGAAAAATAGCTCATAAGAAGACAAAGATGATGTATTGTTGACTTGAGTATGGATACATTTGAAGATGATGCATTCTTTCTATTTTACTTCCACCCAGCTCAGTATTCCTCATGTCAATAGTTTTGCTATGAATAGTTCACCTTCATTTAAGCTTCAGAGGTCTTTATGTCATTAATTTCTAGAATTTCTATCATGAAAGAGCTACCCGCTTCATGCCCCCCTTTTTTCCTTACTCGGTGTTTAATTCCTTGTATTATTGTATCATACGTCTGGGAGTTCAAAAAAGATAATGGTTGAATCATGCTTTTCTTATTGCATATTAATAAATTTTTGATAGAGTTGGGAGGGCTATGTAGTTCCATTGTTCGTTTCTTTTTTGTTTTGTTTTTGGTGATGTTCAGTCTATCGCTACAAGGTATGTATTCCTGGTGCTTATCTCCGCAGTAGACAGTAGCATGCATCTTTACCAACAAAATTGGCATACACATGTACATAAGGATCTTTCTCTGTTTACAAAACATTTATGAATCTACACTCTGTGGCAGAAATCAGATGACTCGACAGCTCCAAGTCCTCATTGGCATGATCGCATTCAAGGACCTCACAGATCTCATCATTCAGTTTCCTCTCTGGCAAATCAAGCGGATGGATTTAAAAGCGCAGACAATACTCATTTAGATGATCCTTCTGGTGCTATAGTTCAACAAGATTTAATGCCAAACGCTGCGAATACTACCACACAAACTCGTGCAGAAAGCCAATCTGGTAGCAGCAAGATCAATGGGACGTTTAAAATGCTTCCTAGTGGTCAGACACCTGTAGATAATACTGGCTTCTCTCAATTATCTTCACCATCTACAACATCTTTTTCTCCTAGCAGGTTTGTAACATCAGATGCAAATAAAATTCACTGTAATAATATAATTTCTAATGTATTGTTCATATAACTAATGTTAGATATATAATTATACTTTCTTTTATTAGTTTTCAAGTGGAAGGAAAACATGATACACGGTTTGATTTATCTGGACATGGGTTGGTGCCAGTGGCTGAAGGAAACAATCCTAGCAACCTTTGGAAGCAGGTAGCGTCTGTCATTTCTTTAAGATCTCCTTATCGTGAACAATAAATTTTGGACCTATTGCTATGTTTGCATAAAATTATTCACCTTCTTTTGATAAATATGTTTGCATAGGATCTTGTTGTTAAGATTCGGGAACATGAAGAGGAGATTTTTCAGTTGCGGAAACATCTTGCTGAATATTCTATCAAGGTAAGAAAGATGCGTTATAGTTCACATATTATCTACAAGAGTATCTTGCTTTACTTTTACTCCCATATTATTAATTGAATTAATTACTTGTTGATAGGAAGCACATATACGAAATGAAAAATATGTTCTGGAAAAACGCATTGCTTATATGCGTATGGTGGGTGGTATTCTTCATACAATCTTTTTTATTCCATTCTTTTTCTCTCTCCCATGAAAACTAATGGAAATTGTTTAAACATAATGCTTGCTACTAGGCCTTTGATCAGCAACAGCAAGACCTTGTTGATGCGGCATCCAAAGCCCTTTCTTACAGACAAGACATCATTGAGGAAAATATTCGTCTTACGTATGCATTGCAGGTATATTTCTTTCATCTCTGTTGTATGTGGGCCATGTGGCCCTCATTAGGTGTTTGATGTTGACAATCGTGATCCACTTTTTTTGTTACATATTCATCATTGCAAACTTTTGTCCTGTTTTTTTTAAGGTAAGAAGCATGGACAATGGCACAAGACATAGATACAACATGACACGGACGTGCTGACATGAAACCCCTTTAGAAAATAGTACATGGAGATGACTCAATAATAAAGTAGTATACTTTTATATGTAAATCTACAATACACATGACAGGCATTGAAATTATATAAATAATTCTAACTTATGAATCATAATACCCAATAATTACTAATGTCACATGGGAATAGAGAGACAAAAAACATGCATCACATATATATGCATGCATGTGTATAAACGAATCTATATTTTTTTATGCAAGTGATAATCATGATTACTCCCCGTCTTGTCTCATGTACACTCCTTTGATAAAACTTTTCCCAATCTATCTTCAACTATAGTTTTTCATTACAATTATAAATATGTTCTATGCCAAAAGTCAGGTAGGAGTTTCATGTTTTTCACGTATGTTAGCGAATTGTGGTAGAACGAAGAAGTGTTGCAATTTTAGCTCGTGTGGCATCTCCTCGTCCCTTCCACATGGGAGGTTAAAGGTTCAAGCCCCTATTGGGACAATAATATGTACGATTGCGGGTTGGATGTATGTCTTTCCTACCCCCCCAAAAAAAGAGAATGCACTTAACATGCCAGAGGTGTTACCTGGCACATATGTTTGGGATGATATGCTCTTTCTTGAGAGTGTTTGTACAACTCGTTCTTGGAAGTGTTTGTGCTTCTAAGGTTCCAGGTAGAGATAGAACCATTACGATCTTAAACTTCTTTTAAATTGAACTAATTAAACTTATTTAAGCAAATTGATATTTGGAAGTGTGGATATCATTTCATGTAGCTACTGTTTGAGATTCTTTGTCAAACTTGTAGAACTTTGAAAGTGCATATTAAGATTTCATATGTGATTCCTGCTCATGTAGTCTTTAATTTTACAATAAATATGTTGTCACTAATTTAGGATTAGTCAAATTTAAGATATTTATGTTTTAATTATATGTAAGCCACCAAGTTCATTATTTTGAGTAGAATGACACTCTCCACGTCTGTTCCCCAAGTTATTAATTAAATCTAAAATGTCTATTGATATAAAGTAATTCTTTATGTTTTTGTTTGATAAGTACGATGCGACACCCGTGTCTCAACTTGAACTTGAATCCTGTATTTTGCTTTCATGGGGTGGGAGGAGATACCACACTAGCTTGGTAGTGGGTGGTTTTTGTAATTTCACTCTTGTTTTGGTAGTAATGTCAAAAAAGCTTCATAATTTCAGACTACTTATTCTGAAGACCTCCACAATGTAAATAATCGCATAAATTGAATACAAATATAAGATTTGTTAAATTATCCATTTTAAAGTTGGTTTTCTAATAGAAAAATGGATTTTAAGTTCTGCATTGCTTTTTTTTCCAGGATGCACAACAAGAAAGATCGACATTTGTGTCATCTTTGCTTCCTCTTCTTGCAGAGTATTCCCTGCAGCCGCCAGTTTCTGATGCCCAGTCGATTGTAAGCAATATTAAGGTCTGTATAAGATGGTTTTCGATTGTGTAATAATGTGCAAGATAGATCATCTATTATTCTTCCATATTCATTTGATTTGAAAGTGAACCTTTCTTCCTTTTCCATTGCTTAGAGTTTGTTGTTTCTTAATTTAAAAAAAGATTAGCAGTTATAAAACCTATCATTCTTCAATTAGAGCCTTATATCTCATAGTTCTATGTGTTACATCTTTGAAAGGAAATATGTATAATGACTATTCATTGATAATTTATAATGTCTTAAGAAAGAATGATGTTTATGTTTTGAGATACAGAAAGTGTATCTGTATGTCTTCTTTTCCCATGAATCACTTCTTTGATGTTTACTCCCTGGATTGTTGCTCTTGCAGGTTCTGTTTAGGCATTTGCAGGAGAAGCTCATTCTTACTGAGGTATGTAGATTTGCGTGCACTACATACTTGTCTAGTTTATTGGTTTGATCTGTAACTTTGTTAGCAAATTCAATATGGCTTTTGTTAGTTTGGGATTTCTGGGAGAATCATCTAATTTCTTCTTCATGATTGGGCTGTCCTGATTGTCCACCGTGCCTTTTGACGGTCACAGGCAAAATTAAAGGAATCTCACTATCAATTGGCACCATGGCGTTCTGATGTGAACTCCTCAAATTTTTCTCAATCACCGGCTCGTTCCATTGGTGTAGCACTGGTGAGCTTAGTATGCTCTTGCATCTTACTTTAATTTCTCCAAGAATGTCGTTATAAAGTTCTCAAATCCTTTTTTTCCTTCGCAGAACAAAAATGGGCTTGAACTGGTGCCTCAGCCAGCATATTCTCATGGGGACTTACCAATTTCTTCTTCTGACCCACAGACAACTGCTGATTGGGGTCTAATGGGACATCATAAGAGTGGTTTAGGTGGTCAAGTTGCAAAAAATCTGGAGCCTGACGACTTGGGGAGGTATTCACCTCTTCGAAGCAGGTGAGCCTGGTCAAATGAAGCCTGCTACTGTGAACTGAATGTACAATTACGACCTTCTGCTTTTGTTGGTGGGTTCTGTTCTCATTGAATTTTCATGTTGATTTGTCATGTGTTAATGAATTATTGTCCAAAACACCATTTTTAGGAGTCATAGCTACACTTTTTTTAGTATAGGGAAGGATAATGATTAGTTTGTTGAATGGTATTCCCAATATGATTACTCTACTATATTCCTATTGTTAACTAGGGAAGGCATTGAGAACGCATCCTATTGAATTTTTTGACTGCATGAGGACTCCTTATGTTTTGGAACATTCCTGGAAATAAGCATTTAATGAATAAAACGAGAACCTACATCAGCTTGTACAAAAAGTGGTTGAAACTATTTTATTTAGAACTACTTCCGGGGAACACTGTTGACTTCTGATGGCCTGACACAGAGAATTCTGAAATGGGTAGTGTGATGTTGTGACCCAAAAATTTTTTGACCTTTTTTTTTTTTTGGCTTGTGGGTCATGGACCCTGGTTAGTACTATCTTGTAGCCCGGTGGTATGTAAGGGTCTTTAGGGTTTGGAGTGAGATAACGAGAGAACACTGAACATCGCTGGAAAGGGAGTGAGAGCGAGTGCTAGGGTTTGGGGGCTGAAACTTGTAATCTCCTGTTTTCTGCATGGTGAAATCTTTCGACAGATCTTCACCATGGACGTAGGCTTAGACTTGAGCCAAACCACGTAAATCTTTGTGTTCTTTGTGCATGGTGTGTTTACTTTCCCGTTGTGATTCTTGTTTTGTTCTTGGTTCGCTGCATTTGTCATAACAGATATTTTTAAGCTATTAATGGTTATTTCACAGCTGGCATCAATTTGCGAATGATAAAATTGTTTTTTGTAGAAAAAGAGGGAGATGATCTGAAGAATTTTATCCCAGTCCAGTTTAAAAGTGCTTAGAAAGTTATTCAGAGGTGCTTAATTTCTTATTGATGACAAATTTGGTTATCCTGGATGCTTAGGAAGGAAATATTAATTTTCTTGGCGATCAAATTGAACTAATGAATTGGATCTATTTCAGTAATTTTTTTTGGTGATTCTCTATAGGGTTTATTTTATTTTTTTTGATAAGTCATCCATCTATCTGTATTAAAAGATTGGATTGTGAGTCTGTCAGACAACTGTATGACCACCCCAGCCACAGGGCTATTAATCACGCTCTGGTCATACAGTCATGGTTCATCCACCAGACTTAGGTTCCTGTCTTCTTAGTAATCAAGGATGCAGAGGTACGAGCCTATAGAACAGATTCTGTTCAAGTAAGGTCGTTCTCTATAGGGTTTATTTATATAGAAGAATTCTTTGTAAGGTTTAGGGCTAAACATGCTAGGGGTTTTTAACCATATTATCAGAAGGATTGTCTTTTTACCAAAGTGGTGATATCTTGTGAAGGTAGGTATCCCATGGTTTTTCTTCTTAACTCTAGCTGATATCTATTTGTAAACCTGTAAGTAAAAGCTTAGAGATCAGTTCTAATGCTTTATCCCAGTGTAGCTTTTTGGAACAATCACAAGTGATATTTATTTCTTTTTGGGTAATAGTTTGGGTTTCTCCTCGTTAATTTATGGTCCGTAATACCTATGCACCCCCCACTATTTTATTCCTTTATCTAACCCGGTTTTCTAACCGACTTCTGTTCCCTGTAAAATTAAGTTAAATCTGTCTTGGGAATTCTGGCAATTCTTTTTTAAGAGTTTTCGCATACTATTAGTAAACCTGCCCCTTTCTCTCTCTCTCTCATATGAACATTTTGAATATAAGTTGTCCAGCACTTTTGATTTCCAATCGGTGGTTAAGATTAAGTAATAATTAGCCATCGTAATTATTGTTGTTGTTGTTGTTGCTTTTGATGCTTGACTCAATTGAACAAGCTTTAATTTTAACATTTGCAGTCAGCCATGTTCATAACTTTTGACATTGGGGCTTTGCATACCATTATCATCCCTCCTCTCTCTAGACTTGGGACTACTTGTTTAGTGTTAGCACGACCTCCTTTCCAGCTTGAGTGTTACTCCTGCAATGTTCAACTACTGTTATTAACTAATTTGGCCTCCATTCCTTGCATAAATCCAAATTGGCTATCACCCACTGTAGATTCCTCTCTTAATCTTTATTCTGTCACCCTTTCCTATAAATTCATTCTGTTGCATAAATTTGTTAGCCATTCAATTCTTGTATTTCCTAAAATTCTTCATGCCTCTACATGTATGTGATCAGTCCTTAAATGAGTCATCAACGTAACTTATTATTAGATCTATTTATCTCTACTTTTATTATAATATTTTCCTATCCTCATTTCACAGGCATTGAAATTAATTTTTTTTTTTTTTAATCTATTTAATACATCATTCTCTTTAACTAATATTGTTTGATCCATTTCCTTAATGCATCTGACTTGTATGTTTTTAGTCAACCTATAACTTATAAATAGTTTTTTCACCCTCTTTTGTACCTAATGTTTTATTTTTAAAAAAAAGTAGAATTGTAATAAAAAGCTTTCAAAAGGAGAACGCAGCCCAAAACAAAAAGAAGAGCCTAATAGGGGCCATAGGGCCCCAAATCTCTCAGAATGTCCAAAACATCAACTATCTCCCCCACGGATTTACAATTCCTCCCAGCAACCCATCAAAATAGAGAGCTAAGAAAAGAAAACTTCAACACCCCAATAGGAGACTCCTCATTGTTCTCTCCAAAGACACCACCAAAGGCACAAGGGTGCCAGTGTGCCACCCTCCAAGAGTCACGGGCTTGAGGTCCCACAAAACATCCTCTCCAAGCCTCAATCAAACCTATTGAGGTCCGAGGCACGACCCAAGAGTCACGGGCCTGAGGTCCCACAATGTACCTAATGTCTTATACAAAGCATTGAATGTATTTTGTTTAGCTTTATTTACCATCTTCTTAGCTTCTTTTTCAATTTCTTGTAGTGGAAGATGTAATCTGAAACTAAAACATTTTTTTTTATTTTTCTGATAAGTAAAGACTAAACATTTTATCCATGTCCCTCTTAATTTTTTTCTTTTGTTTTGATGAGTGAGATTAAATTAGAAAGTGTTCAAATGGGGAATGCATCCCACAAAAGCTACACAAGGACCAGATAGGCCCCTAAGCTCTCAAAGTATCCAAGAAATCAACTTGTCTCCCCCAAAGATTTACAATTTCTCCCAAGAACCTAACAAAGAGCGAACTAATAATAGAGAATTGCAGCGTCCCAACAGGAGATTCTTCCCCATCAAAGGATCTCCTATTCCGTTCCTTCCACAAACATCACCACATGCATAAGGGCGCCACCTCCAAGCGATACGGGCTGGGGAACCCACTGTACCTCCTCTCCAAGCCTCAATCAAGCCTCTCGAAGATATAGGTATAACTCATTGGACCCTGAACAAAACCGCCACAGGCCAGTGCAACAGAAGAAAATCTACCGACTCTTCATCCCTCTTGCACTTACAGCTCCAGCTGACAATGACCTGTGTTCTTCTCAGGTTATTGTGTGTCAAAATCCTTCCAAGAATTGCCGTCCAAGCAAAGAAAGCCACCTTAGTAGTACTATGTTGTACTATGTATGTGATAGGGAGCGGAGGCGGGATATTAGAGGATGATGCCTAGTAAGGTTGCATTTTTTATTCAAATGATATTTTCCAGTAAGATTCAGATTTTAGATCACCTACTAAATAGGGTTAGATCTAGTGTTTGTGCGTAGATTTTGAGGATTTGCTGTCGCTTTATTTTTATTGCTGATTAACTTGGAGCATCTCTTGCTCATTTCCAAAGCTTTTTGGGATAAGTTGGATGGTTTTCATGTAACAAGTAATTTTCTTATATTTAATTCTGCAGTAACTTTATCTAGCTGAGGCTTTCATGTAACAGTAGTACTTTTCTTATGTCATTCTCAAAGCTTTTTGGGAAGAAGTTAATTGCTAGAATAATTTAGAATTATCCTCCATATGGATGACATTCTGCTTGGTATGGAATTCTGGAAGTTCAAGGCTATGGAGCTTGAAAACCTTTATTATGATGAATACAATCTAAACCCTCAAATCATTTCGCACAAATTTGCATCTACATTTTGGACATGTTTGGAGTATGCAGAAATGAGTGTAGGAATGTGTTGCATTTGATATTGTGTTTCGACATGTTATTTGACGCCTTTATGGAAATAATTGTACTACTTTGACAAAAAAGTGGGGACTTGTATATAAGAAACGGATGATTTAATTGTTGAGCAATCTCTCCCCATCTATTCCTTCATTCGTGTAAATAAATTTATTTCTGCCAATAGAAGTTTTTGCAGAAGTTTCCTTTTTTAATTCTTTATAATGTGATCTGCGGATTGATTGTTTTCAAGCTTGGCTTACTTTAATGATAGTTATTTATTACTATGGCTTTGAAGGCAATTTTGTGGTCCTGCTTTTTTTTTTTTTTAATTTTTTTTTATTACTAAATTCTGTGGTCCTGCTTTAACTTTAACGCCTCTGGCATTCTTCAGGAACTCTACATTGCAAGATGTCCCTGCACAGCTTGCTGTAAGCCTGGATGATTCACATCCTGCACATTATCGTGAAGAAAACACCCATAAGCAAGTCACATTTAGCGACCCTGTCAGCAGCAGTGAGATGGATGATCTCGATGTAGAGGGACAACAATTTGAGAGAGAGACTAATTCTAATTGGGTCTCAAAAAGCTCTCCTTATACAGCCGCTGAAGATCCCAGCTCCTCATATTCTCCTTTTCTACAACCAGTTCTTGAAGAACCTTCCTCCTCTTATTCAGAGGGTAAAAATTTCTTTTGCCTTCATCTTTTTTGTTGATTAGTTTGAGCATTGCCTTCTGCTATCATTGACTAAATTCATTGCATTACACAGCTGGAGATGATGATCCATTACCAGCAATAGAAGCCCTCCAAATTTCAGGTGAGGCTTTTCCAGGACGGGAACTACAAGCATGCGGATTCTCTATTAATGGAACAACCAGTTGTAATTTTGAGGTGCTCCCTATTATACACTTTTAATTGCCTGTTCTATCTCACTTTTACCAGTGTGAATTGTCATTAAATTCGCTAAAAAGGTTCCTTAAAATGCCTAAATATGGGTGATCTTCTGTTGGATTTTCATATAACACTTAATAAATTTTGTGCTATCTTCTGCACTCAGTGGGTTCGGCATTTGGAAGATGGATCTGTCAACTACATTGAAGGTATTCTGTTTCTTTTGGTTTCTTTTTCATTTGATATTCTCATTCTTTTACTACTACAAATATTTATGTAGCTCATGAGAAGTTTTTAATGACAGGAGCAAAGCAACCGAACTATCTTGTTACTGCCGATGATGTTGATACATACCTTGCCATTGAAGTGCAGCCTCTGGATAACAGGAAGCGCAAGGTACAATCTTGCAAATTGAGAATTGCTCATCTTATGTTATATTTAGAGATGAGTACTCCGTGGATTCTTGCGTTATATCTTTCATGTGTTGTGGACTGAGTGTTTTTCTTTTCTCAGCTCCAATTTCCAATGGAACTTTAAATTCAAAATTGGCAATGTTGAGAAAATTGACAAAATTTTAACCAAAGAATGTTTAAATAACGACTAAACTGCCCTTCACAGAGTTAGAAGACTTTAATAGCCTTAAAATGCAATGAAATTAGAGTGGTATTTTTCTTTCTACCTCTGAAAAGTCTCAACAAATTTCCTCTTCTTCTTCTCTCCATCTCTTAACAATAGATCATATATTCATAATATACACTCACACACACAAAATATTTTTTTATTGTTTTAATTCCATCTCAGAACTTTTTATTTTAAGATTTTTTTTTCCCTTGTATTGTTCATTGCACATTATAGGGAAGTATCTGTTTCTAGGCTTCTCTCTCTATCTTTTCACCATCTGATATATTAAAATGGTCACTCCACCCGCTCGAGCTCAAGCCGATTACGGTTACCTGATAAAAAGCTCCTATTGATCGGCTACAGTGGTAAGTGCATATACATATGTATCAGGATCTCTCGGCCTACCTGTTGTATATACACACACATATGCTTCACCCAAATTGTATATACGTTATATTTTATATATACCTCACCCATTGATTGACTCTTTGCGAGGCTGTAGAGTTGGAGCCCACGCCCGTGAGTGTTGGAGGTGGTTCCCCTTTGTGTTTGGTGGTGCTTATGGAAGGAGCGGAATAGAAGATCTTTTGAAGGGGAGGAATCTTCCTTAGGGGCTTTGAAGTTTCATATTATTTGCTTTCTTTTTAGTTGGGTTTTGGGGAGAAATTGTATATCCATTGACGAGTTTATTGATTTTTTGGGTTCGGTGTGTCCTTAGGACCTTGTCTCTGGCTTCGGCTCTGTATAGCTCTTGGGATACGTTCCCCGTTTGAAAGCTTTTCTATACATTTTACTTATCAAAAGTATATATATATATACATCACCCAATTTGGAGATCCATCTCTCCAGATACGATCAATGCAATTTTCAAATTGTGTATTTGGAGACAACATGAATTGAAATTCTAAGCAAGAGCAAATGATTGTGTCTGAGATTGTCTTAAGGATTTGATGGGGAGGGTCTTAAGGATTTGATATAGGAATCGATTTTATTTCAATTCTTGTGGGTGCATTTATTTGATTCAACAAAAAGTTATTTAGACACATAAGATCCCTTGCAGTGAGTGCATGTATATGGAAAAAGAGAGAGAACAAGATGATGAAACAGAATCCCATTTGGATCACAACAGAGAGAGAGAGAGAGGAAATAAAACTAAAAATAAATAAAAATAAGAAATAGAAAACCGGATGAGCAAGTCATGGGCATGAGGTTTTGGGTCTGATTGGATAAGAATTTGAAGCTACTGCCACAGTGACCTAGTTCTTTTGAAGGAAGGGCGGATCTGTGGAACAGTAAAACCACACACACACACACACACACGCACACGCATATATATATTTTAACATGACAGTTAAACAACCTTTGACTCTTTAGTTTCTACTAGATTTTATGTTTCTACCATCCTTGGGGCTCGAGGCACCTAACACCCATTTTCTCTGCAGAGAGAACTCAAATTGCTAAGTCAGTATCCCAAAACCTCAACACATCAAAGATATGTGGGTTTATGTTGTTGGAGAATGTGAATGGTATTTGGTGGCTGGTTAGGTTTGGAGAAGTGGTGGTGCATGGATGGTCATGGTTGTGGTGGTGGTGGTTTTGGAGTTAGGATTTTATGTGGAGGCGGGGGAGATTGTGGCAAAAGGAAGCAGAGTGGAGAGGTGGTCGTGGTGGCGGCAGTGGACATGGCAGTGGGAGGAGGCGGCTAGGGAAGGACGTGGATAGCAGAAAAGAGAAAGGAGCAAGGTGGCTATATTGTTTTAGTGGAGAAGGTGGTGGTGAGAGTGGTGGGAAGAGGTGATGGCGGTGGAAGGGGGAAAGGAGAGGAGAGAGATACTGCAGAAAGGGAATATAGAGAAAAGAGAGAAATCTGACACAAATATTATATTATGCAGGGGACTTTCACTTCAAATGTTCTTTTACATTATAATAATATATATATATTTTTTGATAAATAATAATAAATTAAAAAAGGCGATGAATAGGGGAATGCGCCCCATAGACATAAAAGAAACCGGGAACTAAGGCCCCAAAGAATCCAAAAAAGAAATTAAATCAACAGAAGAGGAACAGGAACATTTGTTCACATAACTGAAGAGAGAACGAATAATAAAAAGTTTCAGTGTCGCTGTAGACGATTCCTTTCCTTCGAACATTCTACTATTTCTCTCCCTTCAAATGCACCACCAAATACAATGCGGTGCAGATCTCCAATAATCACGAACGCTTCTACTCACACGACAACCTCTCCAAGCATAAATCAGCTCCTTAGTAGAACGTGGCATTACCCAATACATGCCAAATAGCCCAAGAATAAGATTCCAACAGTCGTGCACTACAGAACAATGTATTAGGAGATAATCAACTGACTCCCCATTCTGCTTACATATGCAACACCAATTAACAAAATAATTTCTCATTTTCCTCAAATTATCGATTGTCAGAATCTTACCCCAAATGGCGGTCCATACAAAAAAAGCCACCCTAGTAGGAGCCATAGAACGCCAAATAGTCTTCCATGGAAAATCAGAGGGTGCAAAATTAGACGAACGTAAGAACAAAGACCTTACTTCAAAACGACCGTGAGAAGAGGGAATCCAAATCAAATTGTCATAACCCCTGCCAATTCCTTCCTGCCAATACAATTGATTCAAAAAAATGCTCACATCATCTAACTCCCAATCCTAAAAAGAACGCCGAAAAAGAACATTCCACGTAATTCGACTATTATCAAGCTGATAACAGTTAGCTACGGTGGCATGTTTATCAACTGCAATACTGAATAATCTTGGGAAAGTACAACATAAAGGCTGATGTCCACACCAAAGATCTTCCCAAAAACGAACGCGACTGCCATCACGAACTCTAAATCTAACATGAGGAGAAAAGGCATTCCATCCTTTCCGAATGGATTTCCAAGCCCCAACTCCTCCCGCAATAGAAACCGGACGTGTAGTCCATCCTCCAACATCATCCCCATACCTGTAGGAAACTAATCTACGCCAAGGGCGATGTGTTTCCTTCCCGTATCTCCACAACTATTTACCCAAAAGGGCTTGATTAAAAGGAATCAATCGTCTAATACCGAGACCCCCAGTTTTATAGGCTTGCAGACTTGCTCCCATCGAACAAGGTGATACTTGAACTCTTCTCCCCTTCCTCCCCAAAGGAAATTCCGTTGAATTTGTTCAATTCACATTATAATAATATTTAAAACACGGGTATAAAGGATTTTTCATACAACTAGTCATAGTGGTACACGGTGTAATATTGACCATTCTTGTCACTTGTGTGTAATTAAGCCAAACCTCAGGGGATGTTAGTGTGCTCTACCCATATTTTAAGTCGTCAATAGTTGCTTGATCGATTCAATAGTAAACAGTGGTGAACTAAATGCTTGAACCAGAGTTACGGATCAATTGAATTGGTGTCCATAGAGCCTGAACCAATCAGACTGTTGACTGATCAAGTGTGTACAAATTCATTTTGATGGTGGCTTATGAATTTTTACAATGACATGAATCTTTTTGTTGCCCACTTCCCAAAGCTCTTGGGCGCACTTGTACTCTATTATTATTATTTTTTTCCAGAAACTAAAACTGGTTAAATGTTTTGATTCGTTCTTGACAATCTGTATGTGGTGTTTGTTCTATGGGAACGATATCGCTTGCAATTGTTTCTCATAAGATCGCTACTTCAGTGTGGAGTTGTAGGTCACCGACGAGTGGTTGTTGTAAAGAAGCACGAATACTGGTTATAATATCAGCAAAAGAACGTTCACCTGTACTTCCATACGTGCTGAGCTCAACATATTCTTGTGCAGTCAAAGGGGGTTTGATTCCGTAAAAGATGATGATTAGTTATGTTAATGTGGAAGTAGTGGCTGGTGATTCCAATTTGGATATTAGTTGGGACGCTTTTCGTCAGAGGTAAATCAACAGCTATGATTCTGGGTAAATTTTTACCTGGCAATAACCTTGTTTCTTTTTTACTAGACGATTGATGGAGAATGAGATATTACTTGCATGCACGAGATGCACATGACTCACCTATGCTTGGAGAAGGGGCAAGGAAAGATATATTTAAGAGTTCCCCCCTATATTTTAGGAATTATTTTATATCCTATTGTAATTGAGATTTCCTTATTTCTTTAGAGGTCTATTATTTGTAGTTGTGCTTGAGTAGGATTTTGTTTAATTTCTTATGTATAGGGCTTGTCACAATTGTTTGGATACTCAGTGATGATTATTGAAGATTGATCATATTGGTACAGTGAATTTTCTTCCCCTTAATTCTACTTCTCCCTCCTCTCTATTCTTCTTCTTCTCTTGTTCCTTCTCTCTCAATTTTGCATCAGAGCCAGCTTCATCCTACATCACCAATGGTCTTGAGCGATGTCAAAGACGCTTTTGGGCTTCATGCGGTTTTACCAACCTTAGACTGGGTTTGGGTTTGGATTAGGGATTTTTAAATTTGGCCTAAAATTTGATTATATGCTTCCAGATGTGAATTAATTCTGCTGGCATAAAAATTTAATGAAGGGTTATGTGTCAGTACATTCTTCTAAGAGATTATTATGCTGATCAAATTATATACTTCTTGTATACTGGATTATATTAGTGGTTAGAATCTACCTTCATATCTATGTTTATCATGCAGCATGGTTAGTTTGCATAAAATCTGAAGTTGCTCAATGTTGTTCCTCTCAAATATTCACTTGCATCAAACTAGTACTTAAACTGTTTTTATTTTTTATTTTGTGGAAATTTCAGGGTGAACTAGTAAAGGTCTTCGCCAATGAGCATAGAAAGATAACCTGCGGTAAGCTAATTAATTTGATACTTCTATAAGTTCCAAGTGACTTTTGAGTTTAACTTGTATTTTTTCAGGCACAGCTGTTTAAACGTCTTCTGAAATCTAGAAATGGTAACTGATATATCAGTGACTGAAGGTCATATTTTCCATCATTGTTGAACAAATTTCTTGCACCTGAATTAGTAACCTTTCTTAATTATAAGAGAATTTCTAGATTATGTGCACCTAATTTATATGATGTATTTTTCTAGGATGCACAATGTTCTTTAATTTATTTCATTCTGCTCTGAGATTGATTGAATTTCTTTTGTAGATAAATACATGTTCGAGTTGTTTTTTCTATAAGTGCGTTGTTCATTTAAGCTGCATGTTGATATCTGTGACTGGTTAAAGTTGTGGGTTTGAAGGTGCAGATTGTGGACTTTGATTTCAATTAATAATGTTCTTATTACTAATTCTTGGCGTGCACAGATTATCCGGATGCTATGGAATTTGCACATTGATAATATCAGCTTTTTTGTTTGCTTTTTACACTAGTGAAGATCATTATAGTTAAGTAACTAGTAAGCTTCTAGGTTTACTCAATCCTGTGGAGATGTGGCACCGTATGGCTATTTGGCTGTCGAGTATCTGTGCAAGTTGATCAGGAGTAGTAAAGCGTCACCAGTGAGATACTGGTTTGTCCATAGTGTGCATGGTGCAGAGATAATCCTCGATTCCTTTGATGTCTTTTGGTCATTGAACTTCGACTGTCTATGTTCATCAAGGCTGGGCAGCTTTGGTGTGTGCAGAAGTCCACTTCTTGTGAAGCAATTCCACATGTCAACTGGAGGTCGGAGTTTTTTTTTCCGCCTTGGAAGTTAACTGGATATCGGAGTTGTTGTCATGGTAATACCGCCTGTAAAGCTAGAGTGACCTATTGTCATTCTCAAAGTTGCCACATGGCTGTCTGGAGATGCAAAGTGGGCTGGCCCTTCAACAATATGTGGCGCAATGAGAGATGCCAGCTTGGCAACTAGTGGGACATAGTGGTGCAGGACGTGTAGGGTTGTTTTGATATAGATTTAGAACCGGAATGAAAGCAAGGGATGAGAATGAGAAGATAAGATGAGGCTAAAAGAAGGAGGTGAGAAAACAGACGAAAGTGGATGAGAAATCAAAGTGAATAGATAGGATGGACTGACGGGTGGAGAAGAGCAAGACGAGGGAGAAGAAGACACAGAGGGAGAGTTTTCATGACATAGGGTCAGATCCAATAGTGTTGACCACTGATGTGTTCAAGGGCCATTCAAGTTTACCACTCTTTTTATTTTAGAGGTGATGTCACACTCACTAATTACCCATCAGGGCGTTATCCGAGGTCCTAAAATGCTCATCTTCTTGTATATATATACTCAAGAATGCAATAATGCTCTTTCAGACCTTGAGTTTATGTAGTTTATATGTTCATAATTATTTTTAATAAACAATTTATTTGTTATCATTCCTTGACCTTCATCTGTAGTTAAATTTTTTTGTTTAAAATTACGGGTTCAAGATTAAATTACAGAAGGCAGAGCTGATGTGAATTTAAATCAAATTTATTTCTATTTCTTTTTATAGGAGCATATAGGGTTTTGTATAGAGCTTAAGACTGAATCTTTAATTCTTAATCATGCACACACTGTGAGAGGTCATCTAGTTGTGTGAGTGATCTTGTGTTATTCCAAAGAGCTGAAGGAGTCACATTCATAGAGAAAAACATGCAGTGAAGAATCCTATCTACTGTTCCTTGATCACAGACAACACGTGGCTTGACAAGAATCACAAACGCTTTGTGGTCTATGCTTTGGGTGATTCATTTGTGTCTCTTTTGTGCATCTGAAACTCTTTTCTGTAGCTTTCTTGTTTGTTACAAACTTTTTTCTAATTTCAATCAGAAACTCTTTGAAAATCATGGATATCCTTTTTTACAAAATGTAGGGGATGTTATGTACTTCCGTTAATGGGAACCTCTTGGTAAATGGATTTCTTGTGTGATTTCATGAGTCAGGACTGATTTATTATTCAATCTAATTATATATGTTCTTCAGTCTTCACCATTGCCATTTATTTTGATTTGGTTTCCCAGTCACCTTCTAAACATGCCCCTGTTTTCCACTTGCTGTATTGTTTTCCTCTTCTCATGTCCTCTCCTGATGCCAATTTTTTAACTGGTATGTATAGAGTAATTGAGAATACGAAAAAGAAGTTGATTTAAAATCTTAAACTGGTACTCTAGAGTAGGAAACGGAAATTCAGACCTGTAGAATGTAGTTATAATAAGTGGTTTATGTTTTGTCATAAGCAAGTCTACATTGGAGTTAAAATTACAAGCCCATATATTTTATGATGTAGGGTTGAACAGATTTGGTCCCTAGATGTGCACAAACAGCATTCAAATAAGTAGAAATTCCATTGCATTTAGTCCTTATTCATAGGTTTTTATCTTTGTAGTGTATAATCAAAATAGCCAACTTATTTGCTTTGGGGCTTCTTGTATATTTCTTGGGAAGTAAGATTTTTGTAGGGGGCCACAGCGTTGCTGCTGCATCCTTTGCAGTAGAATATGATTGAGAACCTAATTATATTTTATTTTTTCTTATTAAATTGTTCACTTTCTATTTGGACCTCACATTTTGCTAGTGCATTAATACTGCAATATGCTTCACCTTTTCCCTTATTGCCACAGATCCTGAAATGCTCAATCAGATAGAGAAGACACTTTACAATGGTCATGCTTCATATAGGGTATCAATGTCGGTATGAATAATTTCCTATATTATTTTTCATCCCTTCTCATTTGGTTATTAAATTTATACTACAAGATGTACTGTACAATTTCACTTGCTTGAAGAGGATTAAGACAATCATTCAACTTATCATGGTGCAGACTGGGTACCTTGATATATGGGAGCCAGGTACCTTGACCATCAAGAGGGACGGCTATACTATCAAGTGTATCGGACCGAGTGCTGTTGTTGTCACTGAGAAGTTTTCACAGACAAGTGTATGATTCTTATTTTCTTAATCTCTTAAAAAGTATATAACGTTAAAAGGGATCAGCCAACCTACAAAGTGTTACAATTTTTTGTATTGTATATAGTATGAAATGTTATATGAATAGGTTTCATGTATCAGAAAGACGAGAAGTTCTGCTTTTGCTTCTTCTTTCCTTTTTCTTCCCCCCCGCCCTCCCAACCGTGGCATTGTCTGGGTTTACAAGGTCTTGAGCATTTAATAAAATCTTTCGTTAGTTACATATGTTAATTATGGTATGCTCGTCTAAATTTTTATTTATTTGTGTATCTCTTATTTTATATTTTTCTTCCCTTTGCAGGTTAATATTCCATATGGACAGGCCACAGAATTTTCTATAGTTGGTTCTGGAGGGGTTGAGCGTATTTTACGGGCAGATAACACGGCAGATATTAGCTGGTAAGTTCCAAATAATTTCGATTCCATATACATTTATGTTTGTTGGCAGACAACATAACCAGTATTATCTGGTATATTCTGAATAGTTTCTATTGCATATACATATATGTTTGATGAACATCCTCATCAAATTTATCAAATTAATGGATACTGATGTGTGAAAGAATTCTTTATGCAATGGCATGGGTGATGGGCATTCCTTATAAATTTAGGTGTTTAACATCTCTTTCAACATTGTTGGAATGTATAATGCATCTTTTACTTTCCTGCAGTCAACTCTTTACTGTTAAGTTGAGTTAAATACACTTTTCCTTAAGGAACAAAATTTCATGCATGCACAAAATAAAAGGCCATTAACTGTCCAGCTGGGTGATGGGAGGTGCGGATTGAGGACAGACTTCAACTTGCCATTATTTGCACACAATAGCTTTCTCAGACCCAACAAAAATCCCATGCATGCACAAAACAAAAGGCCATTAACTGTCTGACTGGGTGATGGGAGGGGGTATTGAGGACAGGCTTCAACTTGACATTGTTTTGCACAAAATAGCTCTCTCAGACTTGACCTGCATAATCAAGCTTGTCAACCCGAGCTCTTTGTCATTGCACCGTAGAATGGTCCCCTCAACGAGTACACAAAATCAGCCCTTTAAATTACTAAAGTGAAAAAGAAAATATTTGACCATTCCACATTGCTGGTAAAATATTTCACCAATCCACATTGCTAATTTCTTGCAATAATTATGAAGCATCTCTTAAGAGCTGTTGCTAGTTTTTCCAATAATGTTGCTGGTAAGTCCTGTTGGGCGATTCACATCTCTTAAGATTAACAATACAGATGCAGCATATTCTATCAGGATTCTAATAAATATGCCAAAATGAAAAGATGTCCAACAAGATTGTGATCCTAATATTACATGCTTCACAATATACATAGATACATCCATGTTACACAGCTGCAAGGGATTTGAAAACTGGCAGATTTTATGAGCTTGTGGTAGCTTATAGTTGGAAATGTTTTTGCTTTAGCCAACAGTAGACATTAATTTAAGGTTACAGAAGGAATTGTCTATGTCAGTTTTGGGTACTATGATATGTTTTTTGTTGCAATATCATGAATCAGCAGATTCCCATTGTTTAAACTCTTACGAGTTTTTGATCTTTTCTCCACTTGGCAGTTCAAGGGATACAATTGTTCTCACCATGAGATTATTTATCATAAAGGTACGGCTTAAAACCTTCATTTTGTGTTTCTTTTAGTATACGTGGCAGGAAGTTCCCCGATTTTTTTTTTTTCCTTTGCCTGAAGTCTATTTTCTTCAAATCTTAAGTAGACAATATGTTATTTGCCAAATCTTATTTCTTGTAGCATACAATATAGAACTCTTAGCAATTTATAATTTCAACACCCATTATTTGATTTCATCATGCAGTTCTGTTCAATTGTTAACTCTCCAGCGATTTTTTTCTTCTTCATTTCATTTACATATATTGCATATGGTTCCATTCACAGTTTACCTGCTTCTTTCTTGTATATGAATATATGATAAAAGATGTATCCGTTCTGCACTGGCCACTGTCTGTATTCTGTTGCTCATTTCGTATTTGATAAAGATGACATGGTCAAGAATTGTGTTTTACCTTTGCTAGTCGTCACTGTTACTATATGTCTCTACCCTCTGCACTACCTCTTCGGTCCGTCTAACAGCAGTTGTTCTTTCAAAAGGCTTCTTTTATTGGTATGCAGGAGTAAGTAGTGGGTGGACTAGAGTCGCATGAAAATGTTGTGATATTGTCACATCAACAGAATCTAAAGTTAATACCTAGCCCTAATTTATAGAAACATTGTGGATCAGCTTTTAAGAATATGTACATGTCTGGAGGAGGCTTCTGCTTTAATGATTAAATTGAATGTCCTTGTTGCTTCACATGCATGGCAGTTTACAACTTGTTTCTGGGCTGTAACATAATTTTTTCGAACACTTCTTTAAATATTTTGTTTCTCCTGTCATATTTATTGATGGACAAATGTACCTTTACATACATACAAGAGGCAGCGTTTATTTCATCGATTCAAGGAACTAGGAGGCCCAATTGGTTAGAATTGTTTATGGATTTTGAAAATTGTACTCTAGATCATGGGGTGGGTGTTGCGTGATCCCTTGAAGAGATGAGGCCCCACAGGTAGGTGGTTTTTGGGGTTGAGACCAGCTGTGTAAAGATAAAACACTAAGCATGACTAAAGTTAGAACCATTGTGGGAGAAACTAGTGAATTTTCAGTTACTGTACTTTTTTTCTTTCATAGTTGATACTCACACACAGATGCCTCCTTGGAAGCTTCAACCCTTGACCTCCCTTTGGGAAGTAAGGGTCTGATACCGCTAGACCACTGGTCCGTTGGTAATTTTCAGTTACTGTAGGCTTGCATCAAGAGTCAACGCCCATATCTTCATTCCTTAGTTATTGATGAAGAAACATGACGCATTTAGGATGAGATTTCAAGGTGCATGCTAATTGTTGATGATATTGTTTCAATTGATGAAACTAGAGTAGTATGTGCTAAATGGGAAGTTTGGTGGGATGCTTTAGAATTCAAAAGGGTTGAAGCTTTAGTAGAAATAAAACTGAATCTGTGGAGTGTAATTTTGGAAACCTAGATATACAAATAAGGAGGTGGTGAAGATTGAGGATTTAGAGATATAAAAAAGTTAACATTATTGTTATTGAGGCTCAATTATTTATAATGAAGGAGAAATCGGAAATAATGTTAATCATAGAATCATGACAGGATGATTTAAATAGAGGAGTGCATCTGATATATTGTGTGATCGGTGTAATCAATTAAGATTGAAAAGGAAGTTTTGTAGAAGAATGAGAGAATTGTGTAAAGGCTTGAACGAGATAAATTACTCATTCACAACTCTAGTATTTGTAGATAAAAAGAACACATGTTTATATTACAAGAAAGGAAATTAAATCAAATCACAGAATATTCTACGGCATATTCTACAGCATATTCTATAGCATAATCATATCTCTGCTAACACGGTAAGTCATTCCATAAATCGTGGCTATCATATATGTTAACACTCCCCCTCAAGTTGGTGCTTGGATATCTGAAATGCCCAATTTGGACGATGCATTCTCAAACACAACCTTGCTGACGCCTTTGTAAGAATGTCTACAAGTTGCTGAGAGTGTGTGACAGATGGAGTGCAAATTTTACCAGAGATGATCTTTTTTCGAATAAAGTGACGATCCACCTCTATATGCTTAGTTCTGTTATGCTGAATGAGATTTGCTGATATGCTAATGGCAGACTTCTTGTCGCAGTAGAGTGAGAATGGAAGCGACATTGGAAGACACAAGTCTGTCATCAAGGTTTTCAGCTATATCAATTCACATACCCCAATAGCCATAGCCTTATACTCTGCCTCTGCACTATATCAAGAGACAACATCTTGTTTCTTACTGCGCCAAGTAACCAAGTTACCACCAATAGTGGTACAATAGCCTGAAGTTGACCTCCTATTTGAAACTGAACTTGCATGATCAACATCTGTCCAAGCCTTAACAAGTAAGTGACCATGATTGGCAAACAAAATATCACGGCCCGGACACCCTTTTAAGTAGCGAATAGTTGCATCGAGGTGAGGGGCACGAGGAGAGTGCATGAATTGACTCACGACACTCACGACATAAGCAATGTTAGGTCGAGTCATGGATAAATATATGAGCTTCTCCACAAGTTGTTGATACTGACCAACATCTGACAACTCCCCCTCAGAATCAACGAACCAATGATTTTGCTCAATTGGAGTATCAACAGGACGAACGTCAAGCTGACCAGAAGCAGATTGCAAGTCAAGAACATATTTGCGTTTAGAGATGAAAATGCCAGCCTTGGAGTGAGTCACCTCAATGCCCAAGAAGTACCGAAAGGGACCAAGATCATTAATCTCAAATTGACGGTCAAGATAGCTCTTTAACTTCAGCAATTCCGGTAGTATTATCTCCGGTAAGAACAATATTATCAACATACACAATGAGGGCAACTGTCTTACCGCCTGAATGACGTAAGAACAAGGTATGATCAGCTGCACTTTGATGGAGACCAAACTTGAGCATGGCAGTGACAAAATGATTAGACCAAGCTCGAGGAGACTGCTTGAGGCCATATATGGAACGACAAAGACGACAAACCATACCATAATGAGTAGGAGAACGAAAGCCCGGAGGGGGAACCACACCTCCTCCTGCAAATCACCATTGAGAATGGCATTCTTGACATCTAACTGAAATGAGGCCAAAATTGAATCGCATCAACGAAAAATAATACACGGATGGTATTGATCTTGGCAACAGGGGCAAAAGTCTCTTGATAATCTATGCCATAAGTCTGAGCATAACCCTTGGCAACTAACCGGGCCTTGTAATGAGCAACTTACCTATCTGGATTATGCTTAACTGTAAACACCCAACAACAACCCTCAACCTTTCGTCCAATAGGAAGCGGAACCATGTACCAAGTCTGATTTTTCTCAAGTGCTTGTAGTTTTTCTGTCATAACATCACGCCATTGAGGTTGTGTTAGTGCATCTGCAACACTAGAAGGAAGAGGAACCGAGGCAACAGAAACAAGAAAACTCCGATAGGAGGGTGGGAGAGCACAATTAGAAACAAAATTAGAAATAGGGTATGTACAAGAACGTTTACCCTTTTGAAGAGCCATGGGGCAATCATCAAGCATAACAATAACTTGAGGAGACGGAGCTGATGCCGAAGGAACATGGCAGTTGATCGTGGGAGTAGAAGCTTGTACCTGTTGTCTACGACTATAAACCTGTGGAAAAGGAACAATTCCTCCTGCTCGAGGGGTATCACGAGGAGGAATCATAAAAGACGAAACAGGTAAAGGTAGAGGAGTTGAAGACGGAAGGAGGTGATCATCAATTATATTCAATGGGAACCATTCACTTTGAGAACCAACTGAACCACTATAGTATGGTGTATGCTCAAAGAAAGAAACATCCATGGATATAAACCGCCGACGACTAGGAGGATGGTTAACACCTTTAACCTTTTTGAGAGTGAGAATAACCCAAAAACACACACTTCAAAGCCTTTGGGTCAAGCTTTGTACGAGTTTGCCCCAACTGCTGAACAAAGCACATACACTCGAAGACTCGCGGAGGAATAAAAATAAGAGATGAATTGGGATGTAAGATTGAGAGTGGGGCAGCAAAGTTAAGAACTCTAGAAGGAGTCCTATTAATGATGTAAACAGCTGTAAGAACTGTATCTCCCCGAAATGACTGGGGAACATTCATGCCAATGCAGATTACTCTGGCTAAGTCAAGGATTTGGCGATTCTCTCTCTCAGAACGACCATTCTGTTGAGGGGTTTTAACATTAGACATTACACATACGAATGAACAAGATCAAAAGATGTTAAAGCAGATTTATTACTACTAATAGGATAATTGGAACGAACATGTTTAGCCAGGTGACACGTCTCACACAGGATAAATCTAAGACTGCCACGTTACGAAATAAGGAAGGAAATAAATGTTTTAAATAACCGAAAGAAATATGTCTTAAACGCATGTGCCAACGCATAAGCTGGGCTTTATTAGATGAAACATAATTAGAAAATGAAACTGAATGTGCTTAAGGTGACAAAGGAACATCCAATAGGTATAGACCGTCCACTTCACGCCCATTGCCAATCGTCTGTTTCGACACCAGATCCTGAAAAATACAATGAGGGGGAAAGAACGTTACACTGTAATTTAATTATTTAGTAACCCTACTAACATAAATAAGATTTGTAGTGTGGAACATGATGTGACCCTTCCCAGCAATGGAAGATGGAGAGCCATCTGCAAGGCGTAGCTTGAGATGGCCAGAGCAGATACTGTAAGATTGGAAGAATGAGGACATACCCGTCATATTGTTTGAAGCACTAGAATCAATGATCCATGGTGTCGAAGATGTAGATACGCTATGTGCAGACACAATAGTACCTGAGTGGATATAAGAGGAGGTTGGCTGAGATGATGCCACCATTTAGTTGAAGAACTGTTTGAACTTGTTCAAATAAGCTTGAGTCAAGGTAATTGTGGCAGAAGATGTAGAGACAGAGTTGTCAGGAGCTGACAACGAGATTGGTTGTGTAACAGTGTAGAGGATCGAGGCTGTTGTAGTAGGCGTCCATGTAGAGCATAACAATGAGATTTGATGTGACCAAATTTTTCGCAATGGTCACACCGCCCACGTTGTCGTCCTAGAGGAAGAGAGGTGGTAGAACTCTAAACTGAATGGGATAGTGCAGTTCCTGAAAGGTTGGGAACCCGAACTGCTATAGCAGAACGATTAACAGAAGCAACACCTAATGGATGAGTTTGACGGCTCTCTTCTGACAACACATAGGAGTATGCATCCTCAAGAGTAGGGAATGAAAATAAGCCCAATAAATGAACACAAGCATACTCAAACTCGTCGTTCAATCCGGCAAGAAACTGAAACACTCTATTCTTCTCCACAATCCTTGCATATAAAACTGCATCATCTGGATCCTTTCAAGAGTGATAAGAATCCTAATATGACATCTCCTCCTAAATAGCACAAAACTTGGCGATGTAACCTGAAACTGTCAAGTCACCCTGAGAAATCCTGGTGATATCTCGCCCCTATTGGAAAATTCGTGCATTATTCTGCCTCTGAGAATAAATGCGTTAAACTGAATCCCAAATCTGCTTAGCAGTCTTCATAAATATATAGCCAACGACTATGTTTGATTGCATTGACTTGACTAGCCAAGACATAACCATACCATTATCTCTACAAACCATTGTGGATATGCCTTCTCTGACTCAGTTGGCTCTTTCTCAGAACCAATACTATAGCCAATTTTGCCTTTGCCACCAATGAATATCTTGGCAAGACTGTGCCCAAATCAAATAGTTGGAACCATCCAACTTCACTGTGATGATTTGAATTCCTGGATTTTCTGATGAGTTGGTGGGAAAAATGGTACCACCACCAACATAACTTGAGCCAATATAAGTAATAGTTGAGGACCCTGAATCTGCCATAATCTGTCACACAACAATAAAAAAACTTCAAAAACAGCACAAATTTTGTTAGTAAATCAAATGGTGTCCTCAGACCATAAACAATAACGACGTCTCCTCAGACCATTCCTGAAAAATCCAAATTCATACTTTTTTAAGGAGCGCTGCCCGCTTACATATATCTAGACAACCTCCTCCTTAATATCCGGAACCTCTCTGTAGACTCAAATTTTTTTTTTACCCAAGCCCTTCTAGGTGTTGGAGACCAACTATTCCAATTTACCCAACCCTAGAAGAGTAAAAAAGAAATTGTTAAATTTAAAAATACCTATTTTCGATCACAAAGCAGGAACACAGAAAAACATGCGTAGGCAACGTTACACGATGTCACAAACAGCCTAAGGTGGTTGTCACACAAGTAGCAAGGCTGCTGAAAGGTATTGGCTCTGATACCAAGAAGAAATATAAAAAAAGAAGAGAATTATGTAAAGACTTAAATAAGATAAATCACTCATTCACAGTTCTAGTATTTATAGATAAAAAGAGCACACTCTCGTATTACAAGAAAGGAAATTAAATCAGATCTTAATCAAATCACAGAATATTCTATGGCATATTTTATAACATAATCAAATATCTGCTAATACGGTAAATCATTCCATAAATCATGGTATCATATATGCTAACAATAACAAAATGTGGGCAACTGAGAAACAACATATGCATAAATGAGTGTGATGGAAATGCAAATGTATGCAAATGTGAGATGGATGTGTGGTAAGACAAGAAAGGATAGAATTAGAAATGAACAAATTCTTAAAATGGTTGGAAGTAGCACTAATTGGAAATAAAGTAAGAATCAATTGCGATGGTTTGAACATGTTCAAAGAGGACCTCAAAGTGCACCAATTATTCTTTATATAACAAAATGTGTACTACTGGGAAACAACATATGCATAAATTGAGTGACGGAAATGCAAATTTATGCAAATGTGAGATGGATGTGTGGTAAGACAAGAAAGGATAGAATTAGAAATGACAAATTCTTGTAATGGTTTGAAGTAGCACTAATTGGAGATAAATTTAGAGAATCAATTGCTATGGTTTGAACATGTGCAAAGAAGACCACAAAGTGCATGAGTTTGGATAAATGGCATGGTCCACATTGAGGGTAAATCTAGGAGAAGGGGAAGGCCAAAGGATATGGTAACATGTGGTTTGACTGAGATTGTGGCATTGGATAGAACAGATTGGAAAAATAGAATTCATGTAGCCGACCCCAAGTAGCTGGGAAAAATGCTTTGTCAAGTCGTGTAGGGTTGGTGTCTGGGTATCATGTGGAGGAGAAATGAATTACTCTGTTTCATGCCATAAGTAACCTGAACCGGAATCTGTGAAGGTGAACAACTATGATGAAAGTGGTGATAGGGCATGGATTGTTTTGAAGTCTGGATGCAAGGTTTTGGCGTCGATTGTTGTCTAGGATGCGCTATTTGTAGAAGCCTTATCAATGCTAATTGCTGGGAAGGGTAGGTTGGGTTAGAACTCTTGGTAGTCCAAGCTTCCATTTATTGTGTTAACCATTTGTATACGTCTCAATTTATCTGCTTAAACGAAAAGCATCTGTAATCCGGATTTTGGACATGTGAGATTTAATTTGTGTGTGCATTTCTACCAATTATTTCTTTAAGCATTATTCTAACCATCAAGGTGCTTGGATTAGTGTGGAAGTTGGCATAAAACACAAAGCTCTTGCATCATCAACTAAAGGAAAGTCTTTATATATGAAAGGAAACTCATGCCAGTTAAAGATTACTACATATAGCATGTCAGTTGGAGATTTATTTACATCTAGCATGCCAGTTGAAAGAGTTTTTATTTTTTATTTTCGGAAAGTGGCAGTTAAAGATTATTCCATGTAGCATACCATGTAAAGATTTATTTACAGAGATTTTAACTCTCATCTTGCAGGCCGGTGAGAGAAGGAAAGGGAAGAAGAGAGGTTTGTTCTTTAACAAGTAAAATGCTACTGCTCTTACCAATTGTCACATACAAGTGTTGTATAGGGTGTGTTGTGTACATTTAAGTTGAATGAGTGCATCATCAAGATGTTTCTATTTTATCTTGTGTACAATCTTTTGACTTCAACTACAGGCAGAAATCAGCTTGAATATGGCATGAGCTGAGTCATTTTTTTACTTTGCCCCCCAATCCTCCCTTTTTTTTTTTTTTTTTCACAAAAACCGAAAGCCAGTGACTGGGAAGAGAGAGCCAAAGACCGAAGATATAGCAAGAACTGTAATCTCTCCTTTCCAAATGAAAAGGAGTGTTTGAGCTCTTTTAGGGGTAATGTAATATAGGTGAGTGTGCACATGTTTGTTTGAACTTTCTAAAAATATAATGAATAAATAAAGTACAGTTATGCATTAAATATTAATGTACGCATTCTCGAAGTAAGACTTTGTTCAACTCGTTCCACCCACGCTAAGGGTTAATTTAGTGCATGAGACTCTCGCCATTGCATGATGTGAAGAGGGTGTGCAACTTTATGTGAAAGTTGTGTTTTCACATACTAAATTCATTCAAAAAATACTAAATTCTTTCCAAAAAACACTTTTTAACGGCAGAGCAAGCTCTCCCACCAAATACATCAAACATGGCATATAAGAGCCGTTTTGGATGCTGGGACGGGGTAATAGTGGCTTTGCATTAATGTATGGTACTTTCAAGTGGAGAAATTTGGATTCTCTTCCTTGGTTTTGCATAAGCCACATTTAAACTAAACACCATGTTATGATTTTTATACATAAGTAAATTAAAATAAAATTGATGACGCGACATGTTCATAATGATGAGATGATCGTTATGAAAATATTTAGAGACAAACGAGAGAAAAAGTAGCGGGGATAATCTAAATATACGTTCGATCAATGAACCGGACCAACTTACAAAAACTCTCCTCAAACCATTCTCATTCATAATATCAAATAAACAGTCAGTCATCCATAATATCAAATAAATTTTTTTCGTCTTTGATAAATTTATAAAAGGCTATAGCCTATAATCTTAGTGATCCGTCATGAAATCAATAGTGATACATCATTACAATATTTATGTTAAGGCATTTATTATGTTATTGGGAGCTCTTCTATTTCTTTTGGTAATATTTGTTGTTTTGAGTAATAAAAATATATTAAGAATTGCCAATAATTATTTTTTGGTGTCTTTACCCAACATATGCGTTCAATAGCCTCTACCATAGAATTGTTAATAATGTATTTATTTTTCAATAGTATTAATGTTTTTACATACGTTAGTTTGTAAGGCATATAATAATATACATAGAGCAAGTGCAATGCAATGCAAATATTGCCAAATGTAATCCTTTAAAGAAGAATCTGTTTTTTAGTCTCATACCATCTCCATTTGAATATTTCATTGATCCTGTTGTTGGCTTAGACCTTAACATTATTAATCAGCCGGCCTATGTTTTCTGGGACACTAGACAAACTTAAATATACATACATATATATATATATATATATATATATATACACACACACACACTCCTCACTACAATCTTGCAAGTGCTCAGTCATTTGCAATCAATCATAGTTTTCTCCGACCCAATCAAACCAGAAGATAATTTTAAGGAGTAGAGAGAGAGAAGTATGAGTGGTGGTGGAGGTGGACGGAGGAAAATTCCGACATCAAATGGCCGGAAAGACAGAGATGAAGATCTTCTTCTATTCCGGGAGATGCATAAACGCGAAAAAGATCGCGTCGTCAGCCTCCTTCAGCCTGTCTCCGATGACTTTGAGTCAAATGGTATGGCCATGCACCTCATGCATTTCCCATTCATGCTCGTCATTCATCATTAAAAAAAAAAATCATTTATCATCATCTTCTATATATATATATATATCATTAATTTTGTTTGAGCTCAATCTATGTACAGGAAATTATCCACTCTACAGAGTGCCATCTGCAAAAAAAGGATTAGGATATGAATTTCTGGGTGAGGCTGAAAAAAATGACTATGACTGGTATTAACCTACCCATAGCCTATCTACTTCTCCTACGTCTTTTTTGAAAGCCCAAAAAAAAGTAAATTTTTTCATTGTCCCAAACACTCCTCCAATATATTAACAATGATGGTATAAAGGGTAATAATTTGGAGTTCGAAAGTCGGATAATGAAAAAATTAGTTGGATGTGTTTGGTTGTTGGACTCTCAGTCATTACTCAAATTGTAGTTCAAACTACTGTTCAAAATTAATGATTTCAGTTTTGTAAATTTGTAATTGCTCCAAAGTCTTATAAGTTAGAATTAATCAAATTCAATTAATATATATATATATATACATATATATATATTATGTTTAATTATATGCTAGTCTCAATCCTAAGAATAGTAACATTTGTGATATATATATATATAGGTTAAAAACCCCACCAGCGACTCCTCTATTTCCATCTTTAGAAATGGAAGCAAATGCCCCGGAATTTGTGGCTCAAAGGGAGATACCAATCATGCAGCCTCTCTCAAGGGTATACCTTTTATCTTACACTCTTTTATTTAAAGAATCGGTGGCATGGTCACACACACAGACACACTTGGAATTGAGGGGTTTTAAAGATATTAATCTAGATTTAATCTTTTGAATATTACTTGAATTTAATAATTTAGATTTAAATTTCAATAAAATGATAGTTTGATTTGATAACCTTATGCATAAATTCTCTCCTTTTCAAAGCGAAGGTTGAGATTTGAAAACTTTATATATGGATTTGGAATAATTAGTTATGAACTTATTAGTAATAATTCTGAAAAAGAAAAAAGGGTGTTTCTATACCTTAAAAATAAGAAGTACGATACACTTGATGACATTTGACTGAGTGTGTCTCACAATGCCATGGGCCCCATTACAGAAGTTGTAAATAGGGACCACATCATTGTGAGACACTCGTAGATAAGGAGTACATCATTGTGAGACACTCGACTAGTCAGGTGTCGTCAAGTTTATATTTCTTTTAAAATAACAGATAATAAAGGTAAAATTTAAAAGGGTATTTATAGAACGCGAATAATAGCTCACACTGTTTAAATTTGAAATTCCAGTCATTTCAGATCCATTCATTAAAATGTTCCATAATAGTTGATTAGGAATTCTTTAAACTCAGTTTTCAGGAAATTCAGAGGCAACAAAGGCAAGCAATGGAAGGCCCAAATCTCCAAATCCAAATCCAAATCCAAATCCAAAGCCTAAAGTCCCTCCCAGATCTGTAACCCCAAGTGGGAGACCTACCAATATTTCATCACAAAACACTAAATACAAACCATTAACAAACCAAAAAATGAACCAATCCTCCACTGACCTCATGAAAAAACCAAATGTACTACTAACTACTACTCCAAAATCCACAAAGCAGAGAGAAAGCAATCCAAATTTTCTCAATTCAAACCTTGCAAAAAGCATTGGCACAGACTCAAAATCCAAACCTAAAAGCAGAGGGGTGTCACCCCTAGTGAGATCAACAATCCCAGCTCAAATTCCAGGGTTTTCGGATCAAACACCGACGAATTTAAGGACAGATAGAGCATCTTCTGCCACAAGGGGTCGACCAGGGAACCAAGCTACGCCGATTGTCCGGAAACCCGAGCCGATTACTAACCCTAGGAGGCAGTCGTGCTCACCAAGTGTGACTAGGGGACGCAGAGTGGAACAAAAGCAAGAGAGTGAAGGAAATGTGAGTGCACAAAAAGGTAGTAGAGTCCAAGCTGCAGGGAGTGGAACACAAGTTTTGGGCAGTAGAATGTTGGACAGGTTCATGAATGCTAGGAAGTTGAATGCTGAAGATAGAGAAACAAAGCCAAAGTTGAATGGTTCTTTGAATGAGAGCTCTGGTTTTGGAAGGATGATGTCAAAGAGTTCCTTGGATATGGCTCTCAAGCATATGGTATGCTTCTTCCCTCTTTGCATTCATAAAATTATATATGTATATATATACACACACACACACACACACTTTAAAAAATGAAAGATATATAAAAGAGACATTATTCAATTGTGGTCCGTTGTTGCAAAGTCCGAGGAGGGAGGGCTTGGGACAGACCTAACTTTTGAGAACCTAACTCTCTACGGTACAAGTTGTACAATACTTTGAATTGATTTTAGTCATCCAAGACAGTACAACATGGACAACTGAGATTAATTCACAATACTTTGAATCGATTTCAGTCATCCAAGACAGTACAATATCAATTCCCAATACTTTGAATCAATTTCAGTCATCGACTGTCTTGGATAACTGAAATCGATTCGAAGTATTGTGAATTGATCTCAGTTATCCATGTAGTGTTGTACTGCATAAGATGTCAACTCAACTTTTGATATTTCACAAAATGAGGGAGGACTTGGGACATATTTAACTTGAGAACCCAACTCCTCTATAGTACAAGCTATACGACACAGGTGTTGTACTGTCTTGGACGGCTAAAATCGATTCAAAGTATTGTGAATTGATCTCAGCCGTCCAATGTAGTATTCTATTTCACTAGATGTCAACTCAACTTTTGAAATTTCACAAAAATGACTACACTGAAACTCGAACAGATGCTATTATCGTGAATTGATCTCAGTCGTCCATTGTAGTATTGTAGTCCCAAAGATGCCAACTCAACTTTTGATGCTTCACAAACTCGAACAGACCTAAAAAATACCGTCCAATGTGGTATTGTTGTACTATCAACTCAACTTTTGAAGTTTCACATAGTGATTGCTTAGAAACTCAAATTGATATAAGCGATAAACTGTTGAACATAGTTCAAACTTTTCCGACAGAGCTTGTGCTCGAATCACAAATAATTTCCCTTTTATTTTTTTGAATATCCTTCATTTAATTATTTGGAATTTTGTAAGGCATATTTACCCTCTCGAGTCTTTAACTGGTCTTATCTTTTATGGGTTGACAGGATTTTAAAAGAGAGCCAATTATTTATCGTCAAGCAGGCACTAGGAGTACCTATGGCAAAGGTTCTGCAACCAAAGAGAATGCTAAATGAATTTTTCATGTTTTGGAGACTTTAGAAGGAAATAGTGGAAGCTAAGTTCTTCATGAATAAGACTAAACTGAATTAACTGCCATTATTTATGTCTAAATATTACAGTTGCACACAAAGAAATACAGTGAAATCACGTGTGACTACAGATACAAAGAGGTGTAAATAGGTT